ATTCAATCACCTTATAATTTATTACACAGCCACTATATTTTAATGGAATAACACGTAAATAGTGAGTTAAATAAAACAATAACGTGTAAAACACGAATAAAAGACACAAGTAAAACACATTGGAGTATATAGATAATAATTCACATGCAAATTATGTTATCATAAGATATGCGCTGTAACATTGAAATTGCTATGAATAAAAAGAACTTGTACATTACACGTGCTGACTTCATCTAATGTTTATAAATATGAATAAATAGTTAGTCTTTAACAACAAAAAACCGTCTTCAAAATCAATTAAAAGTGATAATTCGACCTCATGACATCGAATTTTTTATTCATGACAAACTTTAGGTATTGATAAAAAAAGATGATTAAGAATCGATTCACAATTAACGAATTGGGTACTTCTTTTGTTTGAAGTCGGTTAAAAAGTTAATGTTTACACAATCTTCATAGACTATAACATAAATAAATTGATGAATTCACTTGAGAACAATTGTATTTTACTTTTTTTACCCAATTAATATAAAAAATTCTCAATTAAATTATCGATAAAGAATAATTTCCTCATACTTCATACATTGCCTTTAATTAGCATAAATTTAACATCTATATATGACGTGTACATAAAACCTCATATCAAATTTATATATCAGAATATTCACGGCAATACAGGTATTTCTTTGGAATACACAGACTTGGTAACAAAGCTGCGTTACTGATAGTGCCTGAGAGTCAATGTTATATCTGCTTATCTTGAATGTTAAATATGTCAAACAGCTTAACTAACACATAGATTATTTTTATTCTACTAATTATATTAAAAAATTAAGTGATAATGCCTTAATAATTAAAAAAAATACAAATAGTTCGTACAGATAAAAAAAAATAATTTATTAATATAAGAGATGTTCCCAAAAATAGTGATATAATTCTAAGAAAATAGTCTTCGAGAGTCACAACCATCACGAATTCAAAATCATATAATATATTAAAGCACTACAAACTCCGTTTACACCAAGCGACAAATCATGACAAAAATTGTACGACTGTACACAATGGTTATTATGTTGTAATTATAAAGCTTCCCTAGAATATAACGTAGAGTCGACTACTAACATTATAATGTATTTTTTTTCTATGTCCTATCAAATCATTATAAATTGAATATATCATTACTGAAAATATAATAAATACTTTCCAATACAGCAAATGCTAAAACGTGGAAGCATTCGCATATATGATTCATATTCACAATGCACATCTATACTAATATTATAAAGAGGTAAAGTTTGTGATGTTGTAGGTGGTGGTAATCTCTGAATCTACTAAACCGATTTAGATGAAAATTTGTAAGAAGATACTTTGAGACCCTGGGAAGGATATAGGATACTTTTCATCCCGGAAATCATCCCTTAAGGGAGTGAAAAAGGGTCCAAGGGATGAAAGTTTGTATGCGGAGTCAAGCTAGGGAAGAACCCGAGCAAAGCGAGGGTGTCTCTAGTCTAGAGTAAAATGACAATAAATAGACATGAAAAGTAGTCAATTTCATTAAAAAGACTGGCATTAAATGCCTTATACCTTGAAAGATTTTTTTTATGTTTTTTTTTTAATTTGAATACATTTAGATTTTTAAAAGCATTCGAAAGGTAAAAGTGCAATATATTTTTTTTATATTTTTTATAAGCAACAACAACGCTTAGCAAACCTCACACTATATTAATTACTAATATTAATTTACCACATAATATTTAAAGCTAAGCTGAAATGGCATAAAACCAATAAGTCAAAGCCATAGAGATAATACTTTTAAAAAAACATATAAAATAATAAGGCAATAATTGCACAATAAAGAAGCTAATAAATAAATAAATAAATATGCAGTCTTTTCGTTTTGCTGTTAAAGCGTAAAATTGCTAAAAGCGAAAAAAAAATATTGCCACAAAAAAGCAGTCCGACGCGACGCCATGTAAAAGCAAATATAGCATGAAAAGGTTATTTGACGTATATTTTTTCTTAATTAATTTAAACATAATTTTACAATTGTTATATTAATTTTCTATTTAAATCGAGGTAACTGTATTATTAGCATAATATATTTTATGTATTCGATTCGTGCCAAATAGCCAAATATGATGTAACAATAATTATTGCATGTAATTTATTTTAGTTCTTGCAAGAAAAATATGTAGATTAAAAATTCAACATAAAAAAAATATCATGTGCAACGATTGACTTAAACAAAAATCAAGCTATTTAAAGAACAAGAACTGAAATATGTTGTAGCTTAGATAGAATCGATTTAAATGAGCATCGAGTTGTAAAACCAAATAGGATATAGTGTCAAACATCCTTATAAAAATAAAAAAAATAATAAAAAAAGCTGTCACAAAATAATTGATACTTTCGCATATAACTACGCATATAAGAATATATTAAATATTAAATCTATTTGTACCGTTTCGTTAGTTGAAATAAATACTTACTGTGACAGACAACCTTGAGAATTGAAAACAAGCCAATAATCTATAATTACTAAGTTGATAATGTTATTAATTATGCAATTATATTTAAATAGATGTGGGCGATTATGAACATTCACGTCATTCGATTATATTAGGGCCGGAGCATACATGATACATTTATTCCGCCTACGCGTTAAGGGGGCACCGAGCTTTTTATTTTAGTAGGACGATAGCGGGCAGTTAGGTTTTTTTTTTAATTTAGGTATTTCCTTCGTATTATTAAAACAAATACACATATTGAAAATGTAAAGTATATACGTTATAGAAAACTTATAGTTTTGTTATTACCAAAAAACTGATGAACTTCCTTGAATTATTTACACCGCATTAAGGGTTTATTTTGTTTTTTAGAAATTACTTTGGATATTTTTTCTATCGAAGAAACTACAAGTAATCGTGTTTCTGAAGTGTACGATTTATAGAATAAATCCTTAAATATCCTACATATTAATTGCATAATTAAAGTTTTAATAATAAGAATACAGCAAGGGATCAATCGAACGCTATTTATTTCGTAATTGCCTCGATGCGCCCTTAAGAGACTATCTGCGGCCACGATCAAAGCGACCATTGGTTTCTATTCAGCCCTTTTCAACGTCCCACTGCTGGGCACGGGCCTCCCTTCAATAATAGAGGGATTAGGCCATATTCACTAAATACGGATTGGTAAACTTTACATTCCTTTCGAAACTTACTGGGTTCTCTCAGATATGTAGTTTTCATCGCGATGTTAAACTTCACCGTAAGACAAATAAGTGGCAATCAAGTTGAAAATGCTTCACACGTTAGAATATCAGAGTTGCGAGACCCCAGATTTGAACACACTTCAGTTGGTTTTTCAAGCGAGCGCGCTACCACTGCTTTCGACCATTAGTTTATTATATTATATTCAGATTATAATATATTGAGCAAGAGCCAGAAGCCTCTTGAGATTAGTGGTACTAACTAGGTCTTGGGTTCAGGTCCTAGGTGGGGGGTCAAATGTAATTTTAAGGACTTTACACAATATTTGCTAAGCGGCATCATGGTTTCCATATCGCCCGTTTTCGCGATTGTATAAATGCCGGATATAAGTTTAAAAGTTACAAATAGAGAGGCGGACTTTCTAAACGTAATACAATAATTAAAAATGTGTAATAACAAAACTGTTCCAACGAAGGTAAAGCCATACTAAATTACTATTCATTTAAACGCATAGTACGAAATGTAGCATTCTTTTGCTGCATTTAAGTAAAAAAAAATTGCAACTGTCATTTCGTTTGTCGTTGTCAGGTGGATATTAAAAGTTGCAAGTATGCTTAGGCCCTTATACATCCAAATATATAATAAAGCTTTTTTTAAATGAAGCGAACACTATGGTTATTTAAATTTGACTTTCCAATTAAATGTATATTACGTATAATATACATTATACATATTACATACATATGTGCATGTACATATACGTTGGCTTACTATTACAAGGTTCTATGTTAATTTTAAATGAAGTTTAGTAATTTTTACATAGAACTTCGTTACTTCGTTATCGTAAAAAAAACAACATAGAACTATGTAAAATTGAATATTTTGTAGTTTTAGTGCCGCTATCTAGTGGTTTGTTTTTGCAAAACTGTAGCTAATGACACATAGAACGCTGTAGCATTAATAACTAAATAAGTACTAAAATTGTAACATAGTACCTTGTAATAGTGAGCCAACGAATTTGTTTATAATATGGTTATATAATAACAATAATTTCTAACATTCACCCACAGCTATTTTATAACAATGAGATAAATATTCCTAGAAATAGTGGTAGTTTTCACAAGCCTTATAACGTTAATCAAGCCTTATTATGTTAGGTAATAAAATAAGAAAATAACATAAAATGTGTTTTAAACATTGTTCGACAATTCATAATTTCAATATTAAATATATAATGTCAGTTAACGAGCATATTTAACAATTAATTAACGATTGATTACTGTCAAGTATGTATAAAAAATTAAACTATGGCTAAATAAGCCATAAAAATGTATGTAAGCATTCAAATGCAATCATATCTGGTTTTAAATACATTAGTACATATGTACGAGAGTAACACTTTAAATACTAATAAATATATAATACTGAATTAACTTACAGTTTGGCACAACTATCGATAAATATTATAAACTAGTAAATCAGGTAACATAAGAGGTAGATGAAATTATTCACATAAGATTTTCATCACTACTTCAAATGCAGTTGAATATCACTTTCATTATTTATATAGAGATTTGTTTACCAAAACGAACCCCTTAACATATAAAAAATACAAAATAACAATAAATGTTAAAAAAAACCTCAAAAACTTAATTCTATTTTGTGTAGAATAAATCACACGTTTCAGACGTCTAAAATATATCGATTATATGAATCGAGGAATAAAAATCGATATTGCTTACAAAAGATAAAGAGTAAAATGGGAATGTATCGATTATCAATAAATTAATTATTTTTAGCTTTAGCATTGTCCACGTTAGAAGATAAAAGAGCGGACAAAGTAGCATGAGTGGCACTCAAATTTCCTGACGCAGGTATAATATTTGGGCTATTATTAACAATGCCACCTGTACCCGAACTCACTATGGTAACATTTGGGGGTGGAGTAGCCCCATTTGCGAAACCAGTCGATAATACCTTCTGAGTATTGTGCATCATAAATGACTTAGTCCCCGTACTGCCTAAAGTCAGAACTTTTTTCAGCATAACAGATGAATTACAGGCATTGTCTATCATATCTTTGGTAGTTGAAATAGTATCGTAATCTACGCTTTTAGGTGTAGTGTGTGAAGGCCTTACCGCTAAGTTGAATGAAACTCCTGATGGGTTGCGGTTTATAATATTCTTTGAAACGATTGCGTTATGCAGGATATTTCCTGTGGGAAACGATTTCGATGTGACATTCACATACTGGGGTGTTCCGATGATGGCGGTAGACGTTCGTGTATTAAATCCAATAATACTGGCCGCGCCTTGAGACATCACTGTGCTGATTGTACCGGATTTCGTGTTAATGGGTATACTGTAACAATGTAAATGAAATTATTTACATGTCAGGCAAGAGCTATTATGTAGTTTGAAGTAGGTAGATACACTTAATGTGCTATTCATATTGAGAATATTAGTATAATGAATATAACTTTAGCTATTTTTTTCAATATTTAGTTTCAGTTTTTGTGGTCTGCCTCGCCAGGTCAGCTATATCGTCGGGGCGACATAGTTGAGAGCGTAAGCGATCCTGCTATGATCCCCGTTAAGACGGAGAACATTCTGTTGAGTTTTAGTGGATAGTACTGGCTTTTCTTGCCGGTAAATGAAACTACAAAACAACTTACAAAAAAACTTTTTAACAAAAAAATAAAAACCGACTTCAAACAAAAGCACTAAAAAGTAACAAATAACTGATTAGTAGTTTTCATTTACTATACATACCTAATCAAATATTTTCGAAGTCGGTGTGCTTTGTTTTGTATGGGCTGGCACCGATTTCGAAAATATTTGATTAGGTATGTATTTAATAGGTAGGCTTTAATTACTTAGCCAAAGCACACCGACTTCGAAAATATTTGATTAGGTATGTATAGTAAATGAAAACTACTAATCAGTTATTTTTTACTTTTTAGTGCTTTTGTTTGAAGTCGGTTTTTATTTTTTTGTTAAAAAGTTTTTATTTTTCCCTTTTTAGTGTAGACAGTAGTAGCAAAGTAAGGATTCTAACGTGTTAGGCTTGTCAAATCAAACAAAATAAGCCCAAACTCAAAGTATCTACTATTAGGCGTTGAAGAGTTCCACCTATCCACCTTCTGGCCTTGCCATCAGATCAGGTCAACAACACCGAACCACTGTACTATCAACGGAAATAGAAATACTTGCAAAGTTTCAAGTCAATATGACAATTAGAAGTAGGTTAAATTCATCATTAGTTGTTTTTCCACCCTTAGGGGTGGTATTTTTTTTTTTGAAATTTAAATGGGACCAATCTGGAAGTATACCCTTTCAAACAAAACAAAAATTGTCCAAATCGGTTAAGAAATGACGGAGTTCTGAGGTAACAAACATAAAAAAAAAAAAAACATACAGTCGAATTGAGAACCTCCTCCTTTTTGAAGTCGGTTGAAAACATACAAAAGCACTCACCTACGAATCATATGAGAGTTAGAGCCGGGTATACTCTGTATGGTCACAGTGGCCTGCGGCAGGTGGTGTATAGTCCGGGTGGCGGTAGAGGTGAGGGGCGTGAGGGGTGTGAGGGGCGCGGGGTCGGGGGGCTTCACGCTGTTGACGCTGCTGGTGTAGTAGTGCACGGTGCTGCCCGCGCGGCGCGGCGGCGCGAGGTGCGCGACCGGCACGCTGTGCACCATGCCGCTGGTGGTCGACGCCACTGTGATGCACTTGGTGCTTTGGTTACCTGTGAACTGTGCAACCGGTTTCGTTGAGAAATGTGGTATACATTAAATATATCGCACACCTACATAGATAAAGAGTAGCACAACTCCAAATAATCCAAATTCGAGTTATTACTATTAAAGGAATTTGCGTAAAAAAACTAAGTAAACTGATAATTTTGTCATGATTACCAATTTAACAGTATTATAAAATTATATATTAATATTTAATAACCGTTAGTGTTTAATATATCGTTGGATAGTGATACAGCTATTCGATGATAAGCCATTGATCAAATAAAAATCTTCATAAAATTATATACAAGAACACAACATTATTTTTAATATATCTTATATCTTTAAACGAGCAATTCTTATATATATATATATATATATATATATATATTCTCGGAAACGGCTCCAACGATTTTCATTAAATTTAGTGGGCGGGCATGGGATCCTGTTATCAATATAATAAAATCAAATAATAAATCTAAACATAACAGACAGGTAGATGTAGCAAGTTCTTACTGCGTAGATCAAAATGACAGCATATCAGATTAATATTTTTCATTTGTAAAAGTATATAGTAATAGTGTTGCTTAGTAAGTTGTCTTTTTTAAATAATAGCAAAGTAAATTAAAATTATTATCCTTAATTAATTTTAACTTTTTAAATTACACATAGAACAATTACATGGCTTAAATAATTAATACTATATTTTATATTTTTTCTTTATGGTTATAAATATAATAATGACAATACTAAATATAGATTACTAATTAATATTTTTAAAATTGTAATAATTATAATAATAACAGCAAAAATTAAATAAATAATATTCCATATTTAATTATAAAACTAATTAAAATTATAAAAATGTTTAAAGTTAAAAAATATTGTAAGATAATTTTTGCAATTTTCCTTTTGTTAATTGTGGGTAGGCTGTCTGTAACAACTATACCTTCAAGATATGTAACACCTCAGTCTCTCCCGTGACCATGGATGCTATAAAGCATTCGAAACGTCGGGAACCAAAACTCAAAATAAATCCGCGAAATAATCCGAAAAGATAGTTTTATTTGAAATGTCAAATATTCGCGTAAATCTAAGAAAGTATCATCCTTTATTAATTTAAACACATAATCATTATATGTTTAAATTATGTATGTATGTATGTATAATGTAATAATTTCAAAGTAACTGGATAAAATTAATTAATTACTATTCTAATTAATCTAGCCTAATTTAATATTACAATAGCCAAATTGTTCCAAAGTGTTAACATTTACCCTATTCAGGAATTGAACCTGGGCCCTCCCACTGATGAAACATTACGAAACCACTGCACTAACGTTGTAATAATAGGTTTTTATATTATGTACTCTAGCGAAACGGCCGCGTATCTAACGAATCATAGGTCATTGGTTCAATAACCACATAAAATAAACAATATTGGTTATAATTATATTTCAATTTCGATAATTGATCTCTCCTCTCGGTTGAAGTTTTTGTACCTAGTAATTTAGTAAGTAGTTTAGAGAAGCAATTGTAATATTTTAGTTTATCTTACTTTGTATTAAGGCAAGAGATCACACATTGTATTACGTCTCGGAACTATCTGGGGTCGATCTGCACACTTTGACGTGAGGTAAAGTATATTTATACTATAGTAAAATATATATTTTTTTGTACCAAACACAAGTTTTTTTAATACTATGCAAACTTACGGATATCAAATAATTAAAATAAATTGGCGATTATACTTTTCTAGTGGATTTTTTGAAACTATTATTAACAGGTACTAATTATTTTATCATCTATGGATACTAAGAAGTATGACTTCATAAAAATCCATAACAAGGATTAAATTGTGTTAAGCTCATCCACATATTTTGGATATATGTACTTGCTAGTAAGCAATATGAAATATGCGTGACTTTTTTAAAAATTTATTGTACAATAGCTAACATAGTTATATAATTTTTTTAAATATCCAACTCCGAAAAACTAAAATTTAGTATTTTTATTTCTTTAAATATCATACCAATACGGATAATTTCAACGTCCGCTGTTTCGCGCGCTTGGCGAGACGTCAAAGTATGATATACACTATGATATACATAGAAAAATAACGACTCAATTTGTAGCAACCAAATCGCTGATCGCTCTGTGATGATATACTTTGACGTCATATTCGGTCTGACCAATCGCGTGCGTTTCAACTACTATGATTGAATTTCCCACCTATATTTGCACTTTTTAATAATTATTTTCTCAATCAAAATTTAATTTACTTTAAAAAATATGAATATAGCCTAATTTCAAAAGCAATAAAGATTATTAAAAAAAATCACCTTTATTTAAACCATACGCACATGAACGTCTAGTATGAAATGCTTAATTTTAACAAAGGGAAAAATAATCTAATAATTAAATAATTGTGTAGTAAATATTACACAAGCCTCGTAGCTTACCATGGAACTAGATGGTGATGTGTGTTAATGTCCCAACATATTTAACAATATTTAACAATTTAACAATTTATTACTTACATTGCTTGTATTCAGTGTGGTACCCAAATCAAATTCATCACTAACTAACGTAATCGTATCGGGATTGGCTCCGGTCAACTTTTCAATTGTCTTTCTTGCATCTGCATCACTCTCTATATTACCCAAGTTGCGACTCAAAAACTCTATGTCAGATTCCAGTAAACCGTCCACTAAATGACTTTGATCATCATCTGTTTGTTTGCAAAGATCAAAAGCGTCATCATTTTCTAACTTAATATCCTCCACTTTGATTCCATCAACATTAATATCATCCATATGTTCAACCTTTATAGTAACATCTAAATCGCCATCTTTTAAACCATCCACTTTTATTTCATCTAGATCCTCCATCTTTATATCGTCCACTTTAATTTCATCCAAATCCTCCATTTTAATACCATCAACTTTCATATCATCCATATCTTCAACTTTAATATCAGCAAAGTCTTCTTTATCCATTGATACTTCGGAGAATGCCCTGGAGTTATCTGTGTTTGTCATATATTGGCTTGCATTAAAATTAGCTGAATCAAAGTCATCGTGCACTTCCAGTTTAATATCGTCGATTTTGAATTTTTCTTCCTGTGAACTGCTGGTGGACGGTTGAGGGCTGTCTGCGTTCGTGAGATCACCGCTTTGTGATCTTTTTAATACATAGGCTTTTATTTTTCTTAACATAAACGGAGGGACTTTAAACCCAGTTAGTTCGCCTAGCAACGGTAAAGAGCTGTGTTTGTACGCATCACTTGTTGCTAGTTCTTCAATGTCTTCCAATACCTATAGTGAAATAAGAAATATATTTTTTTAGGTCATGTTATGTTACGTTTATTATTTACTCAATTTTAACTTTTATACATGATATAATTCATGCATACCAAATTCCAAAAAAATCTGTTCAGCAGTTTAAGCGTGAAAATATAACAGATAAACAGACATTACTTTCACATTTATAATATTAAAATACCAATAGACTATTGACTAAACAATATGACAGTTACTAAATAGTGTTAATAGAATAAATTATACCATTATGTATGTTTTGCCTCCAACTGCATTAACGAGATTATGATTGGCAATCCACTCCTTATCAGTGCTATCTGCTGGATATCGAAGTAGTCCAGCGTGCCTCGTATATAACCGACCGCGAGAATTACCAAGTCCTAAAACCTGGAAGACAAATTATAATAATTACTAAAGAGTACTAACTGAAAACACGAGTGACATTAAAATGTGATCATATTATCGGGCTCAAAATTAAAGTTATCAAGAGTTAAATCTGTAATAATAATCAAATTAAACAAGAATAATAATGATATTAGGCTGTTGTTTCGAGCTAAAGCTCAAAGATTTTTTGTATGTTTCAAAGAGAGACCCTTCAAAAGAAAGTCCCTAAATAACAGTTAATAGTAAATATAAATAAGCATACAAACGGACACAAATGGTTTTGTTTTTTAGATATAATACCAAATTCTATCATATGAAGTCTGTCTGAGAGGTGCAACCCAATGCAATCGGCAGGACACAAGAATATAGTATTTTACTACTTATGCATATACTTGTATGTACACAATAAGTAATGCTACTTAATATAATTTGTAAATTAATTTATTTATTTGTTATTTTCGTTCATGTATATTACATTATTCATTATAAATAAATCTTACCTTATGAGCATGAGATCCCATAATGAACAAAGTATCTTGGGTGAGTCTGGCAGGATTCCATTTTTCTGGGTCACGTAAAGCCGGTGCGGGCGAAGAGGACCGACTATCACCATCTTCTTGTTTAATCTTCTTAACTTTGATAAAATCTGTATCAATTTCTGTTTCCTTCCTCTTATTTAAAGATGGATTCTGTAACTGTATTTAGTACAATATGAATAAGTAAGATTTAAAAGACACATTAAAGAACTAGCTTTTGCCTCCAACTCTGATCCTATAGTTAACACTACTGTCCAAAAGTATATGAACGCCTAGAAAACAATGATTCTAATAGATTTTGATTAAATATAACACATTGTCATTCCTTTCTAAAATTTATATTTTTTTAATTATTAATTACGTATTACGTAATGGTTGATTAACAAGTGCTTTTGATTCATCAATGTGTCCTCCTTTGATTTTCATTATAGCCTAACAAATTTTGGGTAAACGTAAACTAATTAACCAACTTCCAATTCCAAAATGGAGTAGGTTCTCAATTCGTCGGAATCTTTTTTTTATGTATGTTCACCGATTACTCAACGACGCCTGAACCGATTTGGAATTTTTTTTTATTTCAAAGGGTATAAGGCGACTTCGAAAATATATGATTAGGTATCTATTCTAAATGAAAACCTCCATTTAGTTATTTTTTACATTTTAGTGCCTGGAAGTCGGTTTTTATTTTTTGTTAAAGTTTTTATTTCTCTCATGTTGATGTGCTCATTTTTTGCCATTGATCTTGTAATAATCTCCCTAAATGTCCTTGATATGTAGGGCAGCTTCTCCTTACTTGTCTGTCCAGTTCATCCCACAGCAGCTCAATGGGGTTCAAGCCCTGGGGACTGAGGGGGCCATTTCACGACTTTTAAAATATTTTGTTGTTCTTTCTTGTCCAAGGACTGCTTGCACAGTTTAGATGTGTGCTTTTCGAATCGTTATCTTGCTGAAAGACAAACTCAGGACCAATAAAACGGGTTCCACAAGGAACAACAAGATATTTCAATATTTGCTTGTAACCCTCTTTTTTCAGTATTACAATGTCTCCTATCGCAGAACCACCAAAACAACCCGAAACCATCACAGATGTTCCACCGTGCTTAACTGAAGGTACGATGCATGGTTCTAACGCTCTCTCATTAAGCCGACGGCGGACCAACATTCTTCTCTTTTAAGCGAAAACTTCGAATTTCGACTCGTCGCTCCAGAGAACTTTTTTCCAGACATGAGTTGTCCAATTTTGATGTTCTCGTGCCCAATTGAGCGTTTTTTTCTCGTTTTTTGTCTTGAGGAGAACCTTCTTTTTGTTGTAGTCACACTCATAGGTTCACTGCGGCCAACATTAATATCCGCTGCTATTTCAGGTGCAGTCAAGAGATTGTTGAGTTTGCTGTGCATCACCATGTTTAAATCTTCAGTCAAAGTTGTAACTCCAGGTCTGCCTGAACGATGATTATTGGATGTTTTGCCTTGAGTCTTTAGTCTCTTGATGATGCAGTGTACTGTGGATCTTCATCTTTTGCATGTTCTGGATTTTTAAAATTTCTCAAATACTTTTGCCTGCCTCGGTGGTGTAGTGGCTAGCATGTACGGCTGCACACGCGGAGGTCCTGGGTTCGAGTCCCGGGTCGGGCCAAGTTTAGTTATTGAGTCTTCCTGTATAGTAAGTCTCAGTAACAGCCCGGAGTTGGGAAGTTGGCGGTGTTTCACCCCCGTGCCTCGGAGAGCACGTAAAGCCGTCGGTCCTGCGTCTTAACTCTCACCGGTCGTGTCGAGTGGTCGTCCCACCGGAGTATGAGAGTGATAGGAATAGAGAGTGCACTTGTGTCTGCGCGTACACTTGAGCACTATAATATCTCCTGCGCAGTTGGCTAATCTTATTGAGATTGGCCGCCGTGGCCGGAATCGGCTAGGAGAACATCATCATCATCACTTTTGCCTGATTTATGAAGACCATTGATAATTCCGTTATTCTCTTCAGAATATTCCTTTGTTTTACCAATCAAACCAATTGAAAAGACAAACATAAAAAAATATACATACATCTAGAAAAACAACAAATTTGGAAAAGTTATAAACGCAAAGAAATTTCTATTTATTATTTTTAAGATTAATGATGAAGTCGTCAATATAATCAACAATGTTTTGGTTTCAATAACATTATGGTGTTAGATTTTAAAGGACTACAAACAATAAATATATCTTCGATGCCTTATTTTGGTTTACATAAAAATATGCAGGTGTTCAAATACTTTTCGACGGTAGTGTATAAATGTATAATAATAGTTTATTAACATATTGAAATGCCTCATATACCAAAATGCATGTACTATCCAGTCATTAAATAGCATTGATATTGACAATTTTCATACATAATGTATACATATTTATTAAATTCACACTCCCTTTCTCATGATTCTTACTAATGTTAATAGAGATACTAAAGTAATTTTCCACTAGTAATAGCAAATTGTAAGTTCAACAGAAGCCATTGTTATACTTTATCTATAGCCGATGAAGAGAAATATCTATGTGTTCTATGCAAATAGCCTCTCATGTACAATACAAAGTGCCAACCTTTGGCATAATATACATTATTTATTATCAAACATAAGTTATTTTTCACTACCCATCTACATTATAAAGAGTTGTCATACTTACCGATTCCTTTGTCAATTTATTATCAATACTAGTATCAATGTCAGTGGGCTCATAACCTGCTGGTGCAACACGTGAAGGTGTTGAATATAGTAATCTAGTAGCATCCAACATAGCACGGCAGACTGCACGAACCTTGGATTTATAATTAAGTAGGTATTAATAACATATTTTTATTAAAATATGTAAATAACAAATATTTGTAAGTAACCTAATTATTATTGGCAATACTAATAAAAGCTTAACATTCGAGATTAAAATGTCATTAATGGATTGCAATGAATATACAAAACACACTTATAGTCCTTTGAATATTTTTTATAAATACAGTAATTTACATACCTGATCTTCACTCACAGATTCATCGCCCAAGTTTAATCTTATATTGTTAACAGCAGGAACAAAGAATTTCTGTTAAAAAACAAAATTTGTTAAGGATTGATATTAAACTATTCAATACTAAAAAAAGTTCATTCTTCTATATAATGCAATATCAATACATCAATCAATCATAGCTTTTGCATAATTCAAATACATATAAAATTAAAAATTAATAACATCTTACTTCCAAATATTTTTTTATAACTTGATCAATTTCCCTAGTTACAGCTGATTGAATAGTTTGTCGTAACATATCCAGAGATTTATTAGCACTTGCTCGAAATTCGGCAATTGGCCTTGAATGTGGCTGTACAGGACCAGGAAGACTAAACCTTCGATGCATAGCCGCTAAAGTGCTTATTGCTATCTGACGAGTAATAGGCTGTTTCTAAACAAAAACAATAGAAATCAAAATATTGAATGAAAAATAATATTTCATCGTCAATAATAATTTATGACTTTTAAGTATGACTTACCGCCTGCATATTTACTGTTGTACCTGTACGAATATTAATTATTTTAGCAGGTGTCTGAAAATTCCATGTACCATTGGTATTATCTAAGACACCAACGTTTTTATTTGCTTCATTATTATTCTTTTGAATCACCATTTCGATTACAAATCACTTGTAATTTGCATCAATACTTCTCATAGCTTTCGTTATTGCACATAAATTTAAATTTTAACAAATTATACTTCTATGTTTGAAACCTTAAGTTAATCAATTTCTGAATTCATTTCACGCAGCAAAATGCAAGCTCATGACAGTTTCACTAAAAAAACCAAGAATAAAACCATGTAAATTATATTTCTTACTTTTAAATATAAAAATTATCTCCTATACAATATTGTTTTTATACCATCTACCTTAAAGTATAAATTGTTTATATCATTATTTTAAATGTGGATTATGGGTTAATAGACTTATAACAATGACAACGAAAACTAATATCGTAATTCGTAAAACTAAACATAAAGTTAGGGATGCTCGAAAATAGATAATGCAAATTGTCGGTATATCTTGCACAGATGACTAAAATAGCAGTGTTCTGAGTGTAAGTTTTCACAATTTTTTCAAATGACTGCGCGTTTCCTTAACGAGTAAAGGTCAATTTCACCAAACTTTTTTTTATTGATTCATCAATCACAATAATTGATTACTAGTGGCTCATCCTCACTTCGCTCGGATTCGCCTCTAGAAAAACACAAACAGATGTATCCCACGGGAACCGTTCATTTGTCAGGGATAAAAAGTAACCTGTTGTTTGACCGGCAATATAAGATATCAGCATGCCAAATTTCACTAAATTAGGTGCATAAGTTGTTGTGTACTAAGCTGCATAAGTTACTATAGTTTTTTTAAGTATCCCACGGGAACTCTTTAATTTTCCAGTATGAAAAGTATCTAAAATATTGACCGGGGATATAAGGTACCACCATGCAAAATTTCATTTAAATCGGTCTAAAAGTTTTGGAGATTAGCCCGTACAAACTGACAAACAGAGAAACAAAATATTTAAAAAAAAAACTGGATTTGTTCTATTCTCTTCTTACATCCCCCTCGCACGGTTTTTAGCATTTTTTTTCTATGTCTGTACATTCGACCTCTACAGTTTTATTACCTATATGTATATATAATAGTTTTAACCATGGATTGTTTTAACGGACTGTTAAGGCACAGATTATATAATACTATAATAGGTTAAGGTTAGTAAGTGTTCCTGAATTTGCTACCAAGACCTAAATTTTCTTAATAATTCAGGAGTTTACAACAATAACAAACAAAACTACGTCGTAGCCATAATCATATTTGAGGAGCGTCGGAACAAAAACCGATAAATCACATTTGTGTTTTTTGTGTAAAAATGTAAAAATATAGCATGGTTTTCAACCAATTGGCATAATTTTTTTAATCAAAATGTGATTAATCGGTTTTTGTTCTGACGGTCCTCATTTACAATGTAGTCCTTTTATAATATGGGTAAATATTTTTACTTTCTTAGTTTTTGTAAACACTAATTAGTTTAGTAGTAACTATAGAAACTGAATGAAATTGGTCCTTAACGTCAAAAGAGTAATTGATGTCTTTTTTATCACTAGATGGTACGGTTTCAATCCGTACTAATATTATAAATGCAAAAGTAAGTCTATCTGTCCGTCTGTCTGTCTGTCTATTAATTTTTTACGCTTAATCCGCTGAACCGATTAAGATAAAATTTGGTATCTGATAGTTTGAGACCCCGGTAGGACATATAATAGATTTTATCACGGAAATCATTCCATATGGGAGTGCAAGGAGGGGTGGAAATTTGTGTGAAGAATAAATCATTTCGCAAGTAAGGGTTATTATATTTAATCTTCTATATGCCGGTTTGGATTAGAAGTAAATTCATGTAAGTCGTCATCGACATAGTCACGTGACGTGTTAACGTTAACACTCAGAGTGCTGATCATAGAGAAATTTTTGTTCTAAAAACTTGTGTCTCCTAAAAACTTGTGTGTTCATCCATCAATTTCTTGATGACACACAAATTGACGCCTTAAAATTTGGTGGTGTGCGCGCGTATCGTAAAAATTATACTCTCATAATTTTTTCCAACCATGCCATAAGAAGTATAACTTCAAAAATGTGACTTAGTAATAGTCAGCAAACAATTTGAAATAATCATGAACCAATAAAAAGATAACCATTAATTCATAAATTTGGTTCAGAAGTTTAAACACACTAATTTATCGTTTTGTGTATTTTGGCATCCCTAGACCGACCCTAGTTAAAATCCAAACATCATTCAAGATTTTTGATCTGGATCTGTGGTTTTGACTTTTGAAATTTGAGTGCTGAGCTTTGAATGATGAATGGTGATTAGTGATTACTGATTATCTTTCACTCGGCTTTGCCCTCTTGTCAATCGGCGATCAGTAGGTACCTATTCAGTAAAATATAAATAGTTTCTCTTTTATTCGGCTATTGGCCTGTTGGATATTGGCGAGGAGAAAGAAGTAAGCATTTTTATCTAATACTATATTATTATAATAAGAAAGAAGTATTCGGATGTGTAAAGTAAATAATCTATTGGTGTTATTGATGAATGACGACACTCATTGAATAATATTTTAATGTAGGTATTGTATTATTTATAATTACTAACCGGACACGAAATTCAACTTGATTATAAATTATTTTACGAGTTTTTTGAACCAGTCTCCGGCAGCAGAGTGCAGAGTTGAGGCTAGTAACTAGTTATTCCGTTACAATCGTTACGTTACGACGTTTCAACTTTCATTTATTATCCTCTAATTATATTAATATTGTATTTCGGTAACGTTTCGTAGTTTGTGAGTTGTAGGAATTTATATATTAGATTCTGGTGAGTTGTTAACAATTTTATTGCATATTATATATGAACTTTATTTTAAAATACCTATTTTATTAAAAAAAATATGTTACTACTTCCAAAGATGGACTTTGTACAGGAGAGGCGCGTTTGTAAATTACAATAACAGCTAGAAAAAGGTTTTCCTGTAAAAAAATATCTTATTTATTCGTGACTTACTTCACTTGAATTCTTGATTTGCAGTTTTATATTTGCAACAGTATTTAACTTAAGTATATGAATTAGTTATTCATTAATAAAAATGTTAAATGTAGTCTAAAAAATCTATAACAATTACCTATAATTTAAAATTCTTAAAACAGTAGTTCTTAATTATTGTTCTTTTTTATAATTTTTCTTTAATTCTGAAGCTTGTGCTGTCATGAAATATCTTAGTGGAGGTGATTATTAGATTGACTGTTTTGTGAGTGATGTAAAAAAATGTAAAAAAAAACTCAAAAACAAGCTGACTAACTAAAATTCTTCAATTTGGTTATATTAGGTGTGTACACACACATACTGCTGTCAGTCAAGCAAACTATAGAACAGCCATCACATATGCTATCAAATGAGTTAGGATTATGATGGTAATGAATTGATTGATTAAGGCTGTTTGATAGCATATTGTACATAATATGTGATGCCTGTTCTACAAAATAAATTTGTTGATTGGAACTTTTAAATGCAACTTTATATTTCTTACTGATTAATTAATATGTATGTTTATGTAAATTTTACTGAACAATAAAATTCTAACATATTTTAACTAAATTCAAATAAATTTAGATTCATGACAAGTTATGGTCTCTTTACAGTATGGGTCACAATATATGAGTTTATATACTAAAAGTCCAGTATAATATAAAGTAAATTATTTTTGTGTTTTATAGCCTATTTATTGAGGAACATTGTAGACCAACATTACAGTACCCTTACGAGTGGACCATTTATTATACATAAATAAATTATGTAAGTGGAGCCATGGGCAAAAGCTAGTATTATAATATGTCATGTTTACATGGAACTTTTGTTTATTATTACATAAAGTTAAAGTATTGTGATAAAGCCAAAACGAAATGGTATTGTAAATATTTGTATTAAATGAAAATGTTGTCATATAAATATATAACATATAACTATACTAGCATTGCCCGCGGCTCCGTCCGCGTTCATATGACCAAAACCAAATTCTTAGTTTTTATATAGTAGTATACTCGCATTAGTATATTAGTTGACCCGGATAACCAGCTTTTACCATACCAAATTTCTTCAAAATCCCTCCAGTGAATTTTCTGTGATGCGGTCACAGACAGACAGACAGACAAAAATTCTTAAAACTATAGGTTCGGCCTCTGTTAGCGATAATAATGTGTATTTCAATAAAATTTTCCAAAAAATATTTAAAGCACAGGTACTGCTTCATTAAATTTTAATGTATGTATCTATAGATGTATTTAATTTATAAAGCCGAAAAGATTGTTTTCAGTTCGTAAGAGCAAAAATTTGAAAAAATAAATATTCGTGAGCCTGTAACTTTGTTGTTATTGATGATATGAAAAAGTTGATAAGGACTTTTTTATAGGATTTTAAACATACAGTTTAGCTAAAACATGCAAAAAACCATAAATTTGAACTTTAAAGCTATATAACAAATAAAATATTGAAGATAGAAATTCGACTCAATGGAACTTTTTGTAGTAAATTTAATACTAAAAAAGGTCCATTCATTTTTTTTGAAAAATATTTTCGTCACAGTTTTCAGGACAAAAAAGTGTTAAAAATCATATTTTCCATACAATTTGTATGGGAAAACTTAAAGTTCGATGAAGAACCTCTTAGAATTGGAATTTTGAGCTCCGCTTTTAACAGGAGCTTTGTTGTGACATTTTCTGAGATATTTTGGGGTGAGAGCGAAGAAAAAAAAATCGTAATTTTTTGGCACACCCTAATATATATATATATACACACACACACACGTCAAAATACATAATCTTTATATTTTAAGTTATATACAATAAATTGCTCATAATATATGAAATGTTAGTCCTCATTGTGAGTATCTGTTTTTTAAACTGATTAATTCTTAATCACTACCGTGTCTTCTCCATTTTACACGACATTGGCGAAGTAATTTGTGCCCAAATGGCATTCCTATAGGCCACAGAACAAAAAATATAACATATTAGTTACTAGCTGACCCAGCAGACTTCATTCTGTTCAAATCAAGCGTGTAGCA